TTCTCTATCCTCCGAATTAGTGGGTTGAGAATCAACCTCTTTAGAGTCGAAAATAGAATTGTTAGGTTCATCATTCACATTCCCACAAAGAGAATCTCCAGAAGGAGGGAGACCGATAAAATCCTCAGATTCCATATTCAACGAAGAAGCAACTTCTTTTGTAACAGACTATACGGAAACTCCTGCATTACATGAACAATCAGAAAACCAAGTATGATATAAAACTCAAATACTACTACTAAAGTACATTAAAGCGCACAAACACATGTATACCGGTATATATTTGTATGTAGACAAAAATGCCTTAAATTTGGTATTCAGGTACAGATATACAAGACTACGAGATAAAAATAAAGCTTGAAGAGTCAGGAACACCATCATTAAACCACCAATATTAAAATTAATTTGACCAAGACTTAAATAACCACAATCTGGTAGTAGAATCAATTATCCAGACACCACACTACCTCAACTCAAATATTCAACCTTGAAACAGACATCACAATCAATTATCACAAATCTTTACAACAACAATAAAAGAAAATACCATTTAAAACAGAAGGAAAGAGGAAGGTAAGCATATGATTGTCAATGAATTCAAGCTCTGTTTAGTTGCCGGGAAAACAAACACGCAATAGAACTAAAGCCTCAAAGCTAATTCCAAGGTTTCTCGGCAGCCAAACGGAGATGAGAAAATATATAGAAAGGGACCCGAAATTAGGGATTTGAAGAGTGCAATTACCTTGAGTTGAGTGAGATTAGGGTTTTGTTAGAATGCAGAGCAGCTTGAATCGAACTCCAGGAGATATCTCGGATTCCGAGAGAGAGAGAGAGAGAGAGAGAGAGAGAGAGAATGATTGAATGCGCTGCGGCGTACGGTACAACTCGGGCTCGCCGCCGCAGCTATTTGTTTTGCTATTTCTAGTGGGGGAATGCTAGCAACCTTCTCTCTAACCTTCTCATTTGGACCTTCTCCATTTTTCACATGACATGTGTCATTCTCATTACACTTAAAGCAATGTCATTAATGCATTACACAAGCTAACTTTTGCTTTCCAAGTTTACCCTATTCAATTAATCTATATTATTTTTTTTTGACAACTCTCTTACCATCTTAATAAAAAGTTTTTTTTTTAAAAGAAAATGTATGCTTTCCTCTTCTTTTTTTTAACACAAAAGAAATGTCAATTTTCTATTTTATATATAAAAAAGACGTCATTCACATCTGTAAACACCCCAATAGTACAGAGTTTACAGACCAACTACTTTTTTTTTTTTTTATAAAGGAAATTGTTTGATTGCATTTTTTATACTACTAAATAAACCAAAATATCCCCTAACAACATAGGCTTGAGATAAAATATATAGAAGCAAAAGAATAAAAAATCATCAAAATCGAATTCAATATGAAATAAATAAATAAATTGCAGTTTAGATTAACAAAAGAAAAAACAAAAGAGTGGTCTCCATCCATATTATACAAGCGGCTATAATATGTTGCTCTACTCTATTTTTATTATTTTTTAATGGTCATGAAGAGAAACATTTATAACAACCCAAGGCAAAAGGGAGGAGAGCCAAAACCTGTACAAACAATAAGCAAAGACCAAAAAAATAATTGACGTTAAAATTTTAAATTTTTATTTATTAAGATGGTAAGAGAGTTGTCAAAAAAAAAAATTAGATCAATTGAATAGGGTAAATTTGGAAAGCAAAAGTTAGCTTGTATAATGCATCAATGACATTGTTTTAAGTGTAATGAGAATGACACCTGTCATGAGGAAAATGGAGAAGGTCCAAAGGAGAAGGTTAGAGAGAAGGTTGCTAGCATTCCCCTTTCTAGTGTAGAGAAATCATTGACCTTTTTTTCTTTATTTTTTTTGTTCTTTTCTTACCTTTTTTACAGGGGTGGCATTTTAAACTGAAAAATAGAAAAATCGCAAAAATCAACCGACAATTTACCGCAATGAAACCGCAATCGCGGTAAATCGAACCGCATTTGCGGTTGCGGTTGCGGTATTTGATTTTCAAAACTTGTGGTTACCGCAAACCGCAAAGTATAGCTGTACGGATGATGAAGTTGAATTCTACAAGGAAATAAAACATATGACAACTTGTAAGTAATTAGTTTATTTATGCTAATGTTATTTATTCTTCTTCTTATAATAAAATGTACTAAACTATGTTGTTTTATTTGTAGATAACATTGGTGCTCAAACAATACAACTGGGTTCTCCAAATCCACTCATCACCAACACTTGAGTTTGTAACTTTAGTTTGTAACATTGGTGTATTGCATTTTCCTTTTAGTTTGTAACTTTAATTAACTTTGAATTGAATTTTTCTTTTTTGTTGTAACTTTAATTCATTTTGCTTTGCATTTTCCTTTTGGTTTGTAACTTTAAAGGATTTGGAATTGGAATGCTTGAGAAGTTTAACTTTAATTGGAATGCTTGGAATTATAACTTTAATTTTCTTAGGTCGTGAATACTTGAGAAATTGAGGAGATTGTGAATTTATATATACTTGAGAAATTGAGATTGTGTATTTATTTATTTAGGTTATGAATTTATATTTTTGTGAATGCTTGAGAACTTGCGGTTTTAAACCGCTAATTCGCGGTAACCGATCGCATTTTGCGGTTTACAGCAATGCGGTAAACCGCAAAACGCGGTCGGTTTGCGGTTTTAAAAATCACCAAACCGCAAATAGTCGGTCGGTTTGCGGTTTGAATAAAAATTCGCGGTTACCGAACCGCAACCACCCCTACTTTTTTAGATATGAGATTAACGGGTTGCTTTCCCACTAAACCAATCTCAAAGCGACACACAAAATAGTTTGCCCTTAAAATAAAATTTGCTATCCAATCAAATGAATTTTTTTGAAAAAATTGTTATCCGATCTTAAGGCAAATTTCAAGGCCTCGTGTCACAATTATTTTATAACAGATAAAATTACTTCACAACATAATTACAATTGAAAATGTTTTCTTATTAGATATTTTGACATGCTATGTTATTCATACGATTCATATTAGTAAAATTCTTCTTTGATATGTACAATTTTGTTTGGATGTGTTATATAGATCCAATTTGACAGTATATAATATATGTTCGTATATATGAATTGTTGATGCCTAAATTTGGTTCAACAGAAAATGATCTCTTTGAGATCGAGGTTGGACAATTCTTCCGGACTAAAGTCAGTGTGACCAACCAAGTCGTCCTCCAGAACCTGCAAAACAGAAGAGCTAACGATCCTTTATAGGAACTTTTTAATATTCTGTTTGAGGGCTAGGTTCATCCTTGGAACTTTTTAATACAAACTGAATATACCAGGTCATAAAGATCCTTTATAGAAAAACCCATCCCTGGTGTAAATGAGGAGTCTGACTTGAGATGAAGGAACATGTTGAGCGTGCCACTCTGACCACTGCTGTAATAGTTCTTCAAGCTTATGTTTACTAGTTCTGTAATATCAAACAAATAAGCAGAGAAGTTGACAAATGGAGAACTAACCACATTACCGATATCTATATAAACATATATGTACTTTGTAGTATTTGTTGGCTTAAGATTATATCAAAACACTAACATGCAACAACGATTACTCCAGCCCAACCTTGTTAACGATTTATATTTGTTCCATGCACTGAACGTTGCGGCTCATCAACTGTTATTCGGGCTCTCTAACACCTGATATAGCTGGCAATGTTGAATTATGGAGAACAGAAATTCAAAGATCATGTCACAACTGAAGACAACCAAATTTTTACCTGTATTATGCTAATTTTGCATGACCAGAATTGTATGGTTTGTCTACAATGCCTGGATTATAGCAGCTAAACTTTTTCTCCAGGCTCTGCCTTTGCTTTCTCAAGCACTTGAGAATGAAGACTTTGAAGGGTTGGCAGATCCAAGGCTGGAAAATAATTATGTTGAGAATGAAATGTTTCAAATGATCGAGCTGGCTTCAGCTTGTGTGCGTCATTCAGCTGTGAAAAGGCCACGGATGAGACAGGTATTTACAAATGTACATAAAAATGTAGGATTTCGTGCACGTCCTATCTCCCAAAGGGAGGTGAGGAAAGATCATGTCACAACAACTGAAGACAACTAAATTTTTACCTGTATCATATGCTAACTTTGTATGACCAGAATTGTATGGTTGTCTACAATGCCTAGATTATAACAGCTAAACTCAGGCGACTTTGCTTTCTCAAGCACTTGAGAATGAAGACTTTGAAAGGTTGGCAGATCCAAGGCTGGAAAAGAATTATGTTGAGAATGAAATGTTTCGAACGATCGAGGCGGCTTCAGCTTGTGTGCGTCATTCAGCTGCGAAAAGGCCATGGATGAGACAGGTATTTACAAAGTATGGTATGACCCTTTCCATCATTTTGTTTGTACTGCTGAGAACTAATACACTTTCTCCACTTGCTAGGTGGTAAGGGCTTTTGACTACTTAGATGAATTATCAGATCTCAGTAACGGAATGAAGCCTGGACAAAATGAAATTTTTGATTCCGCACAACAATCTGCACAAACTATAATGTTTCAGAGAATGGCATTTGGTAGTCAAGACAACAGTACAAGTTTTTTTAATCACACTCAGAGTCGCTGGAAAAGTAGAGACTCTAGAGAGCACGGGGACAAAACCGGGAGTAGCTGAACAAAACATGATTTCGTTGTCAGGATGCACATTTCTGTATTCTTTTGTAATCTAGATTCATTGATACAGTATTGTACGTATCTGTGTTTGTTGTTTTCACATATAATATGGGAACTTGTCTGACAAAGACAAAAAAAACTTGCCATTTACATAAAAATTGGTGCTACCAATATAAAATAAGAGGCTTGTAATTTGCACTAGAGGCTTGCAATGTGAAAGACAAAAGCCACACTGTGCCTCTTGCACTAGAAAAAGATAAACAACCACTGCAGCCTTGTAATTTGCAAGTCATCCGCGTATGTGGTATGTGTAATTATGTGATCTATTTTCTAATTAGTTGAAGATAAAGCCCTTCTTCTTTTTAACGATAAGCTCCTGCTACCAATCATTATCTTTGGCTCTGAATCCACTTCATCCTCATAATGCAACTTCTTGCCTGTCCATTCTTTTTCCCCAAGCAATGGATTCACCAATCTTCTTGAGCTTGAAGTTGGCTCTGATGGGCTTTTCTTGTATTCTCTTGTAAAGAACCCACCATCACTTGAGCTCTCTTCTTCTTCCAATGGTGCCTTCCCTTTGTCTTCACAAGAAGTCCAGCCAGCCTCTCCTCCTCCACTGCTGCTTTCTATCGAAGTTGATGTGTCACTTAATGTGTGGAAGACAGCAATACTCTCTTTCTTTCCACCTTGAAGATAATAGCTTCTGGTTTTTCCGTCGTATAATGGAAGAAGAGTTTTTGACCTTGAGCTGCCTCCATCTCTGCCCAAGCTATAAGTTGTTGATAGTTTTCTCTCTATGCCTTCCCTTTTTTGTAGCAGATTGCCCAATTTCTCAAGCACCTCTTCATTGGCCATTGCTTCAACTGCAGCTTTTTGCTCAAGTTCTGTAATGGTTCTATCGAATGCCTTCTTTTTTAGTCGAAGAGAACGCTGGGATTAAGGATAAAAAGAGCCGCAAGCATATTTGAGAAAGTGAGGGGAACATGGCTTTACAAGAATTATAGTGCAAGAACTGTTAACATATAAATGCTAATCTAGTCTAAGTTTAAGCATCTTTGATCTGCCTCACCTCTATCCCTTTCTTTAATGGAAAACTTACACTTTAAGGAAGCATATGATAAGGATTTAAAGCTTACTCTCTTTTCAAGAAAACTTCCAAGGTTTTCACCTTTAAGCTTCTTTTTACTCCAAAATATACAACAAAATCGCACAAGTCCAGCTAGTACTACCATGATTGCAGATTCAAAAAGCAGGAACCAGAGTATTGCCCTTTCATTACCTGATGGGAACAAAAACAAGAAAGCACTGGCAACTCAAAACTTTCAAGTGAAGATTTACAATTATGGCATTTGCATAGTGTTGCTACTTACCAGTGTAGATGCTGACAAGCTTCGGCCTTACTTGGGAGCAGCTAGACATCAGCTTCTGACCTGAGTATAAGTAGAGAATTATAATCACTGTGAGATAAATGAGTGCCAAGTCAATTGTGGAGTTAGTTCTTACGTGTAGAACGGCATGCCAGTGGGTTTCCAGTCTCTGCATTCATTCAACGAAAACATATCAATATGTGAGTCCAAATGCTGCTAGCTCCACAGAAGATATACATAATAATATCATCTAAATACATTATAGGGTGGTTGTCAACCTCAAAGGAGTTTTGGATTGGTGTGCACATCTAATATGTCTCTATGGTAAAAGAATGATAAGACACTCTTCTTTCTCATGTTTCTCAATTAGACTACAGTGGCAATCAATATTTCTACACACCGAAATATTGTATGACTGATGAACTATTGTTGAGAAGTATATGTGCTTTACTATTAGAATCTCACTTGAAGCTGCCACAAATGCAAGAAGAATCCTCTCGTCTAGTATAAAATGGCAAAGATCACTCTGAGACATAAAAGATGAGAATTGGCCTGGTACAACCGACCGAAGAATTAGGGTGTGCTAAGCAATAAAAATGGTGTGAAAAAGGAAGAAAACACCCCATAAATTGAGTTACCAGGATAGCTTTCAGACCAGTAGATGGACCCAGTTGCTGGAACATACAAGGTAAGAAGAACACTTTTGGGTTTCATAGCAGACACATAAGTATATTCGCCTACTGTGCGGCTGATCTTCCCCTCCATCTCTGTCTGAGAAATATAAATTGCAAAGCCAGTGCAGTCAAGGGTAGGACTGACTTGGATCACAGAATCTGTTACAGCTGTTCTTGAGAATTTCTTGAGAACACCAGTTGGTGAAAATGAGTATAGGAACCCATCTAATGAACCAATAGATATCCAACCTATTATAGCAGATGAAGTGGCAGAGAAAGCTAATCAATTTACCATGAGTTATAAACAGAATTTGGGCAAAAGTTCATAAAGAAACATGGAGTTTACCATTAGAATCAACAACTGGTGCATAATCTGCGGTACTTAATGGCCCAATACTTCCCTCCCACAAAACATTTCCTGAAGAAACATCTAGTGCCAACAAAAGAGCTTTAACTGGAACAGTAACATACAATCTACCATTGTTTCCAGGAGTTATAGTGAAAACTTTGTCGTAAGAACTTAAATCCTGGATCCACTTGAAATGTGGATGGCGGATTGATAACGAGTACAATTCTCCTCCAGTATTTGAGATCTGCACATTGTTATGACACTATAAATTGTTGATTTGACGAAAAAATTCCGAATGAAATTACTTTCCTGAATTATATAAACATTCTTCAAACTTATGTATAGTATACTGAGGGGAGAAACTGATCACATTGTAATATGCCCCTAAATTGTAATTCTGAAAGAAAAATGGGGAAAGAAAGCAAGGATGAGCAGACCTTACATAGATACTAGCCTCACATTCATCAATCACAGGGACTGAATTAAAAAAACAATCTGCACTGTTCTTCCTACAACCTTGACGATAGCCAAATAGATCAATCACAGGTCCAGCACTCCAGAGCAACTGTCCACGTGTCATGTATGCAAAGAGTCCCCGATTTTTAATATTTACAAATACAGATGAACTCATTGTGCTAACTGCCAGCCCAACAATCCCACCTTGTCCGTCTTTAGTTGGTTCTGCACTAAGTAAAACTTCTGCAGCTGGTTCAGAAGTTCCATTGTTTAACAAGTTGATCTTAATCACCCTGTTATCTGCAACCAGATACATCTGCAAAGATTTGCATAAATTTACAACTTTTCTTTGTAGCAGATTGGAAAAAAGAAACCAAGAAAAAGAAAAACTTGGACCAGATATCAGATCATATTAGACATGACATATTAAGAAACGCACATACATTTCTTCTACCACCATGAACAGGAGGCATATCAGAATTGCATGTATAATTCAAATGCATGGTCCAAGCAATGGACCCATTACTTTCAAATGCAAGCAAATCTTTCTCAGAGCAAGTATAAACCTTCCCATCATGTCCAATCAGAGGCCTCGAAAGTCTACGAGAATTTCTTCTTGTTGGCTCTTTAGCTGCAACAGAGAAAACAATGAAAACCACAATCACTTTCAAAGGCCTAGCCTTTAGAGCAACATATTCCTCTAACCCAAACAGATTGACAGCATTTCATTACCTGGGTAGTTCTGGAATTGCGTAGACTGAGAATGGGTAGAAGCCAAAGAAACCATTAGGAACAAGAAGACAATAGATTGAAGCACTGCCATTGCAGCAAAGAGCAGTGTGTTTGTGTGGTAATGTGAGAGAAAAATGCAGTTTTATTGGGCTCTGCTGGTTTGGAGATAGTTCGTCATTTGAAAAGTAACGGTTATTTAACCGCTCTGGACGTGGGGAAACCAAACCCAGTAACCGGAGGGCTGCCTGGTTCATGTAGACTTGAAGAGGGCGACCCGTCATACGACGATCCGGGTCATGCCGTTTTGCTGGCCACAGGCCCACTTTTGACATGCTAGCTGGGCCATATTTTTTTGTCGTTTGATCCACGCCCATATTTTTTTGCTTGGGTTTGGGGATCTTAAACCCTTCTTTTACTTCGGTCAGGTCAGGCTTCCTCTTCTTCTTTGCCATCTCTGAAGATTCTCAGCGTTTCCCACCATAGGTAAGCTCCCATTTCTAACTTTTGATTTCAATTTTTTAATGTCTACTTCCATTTTCATTGAATTTTCTTATCTGGGTATGTCTAGAAATTTGATTTTCCGATTGCCAAAGCTAATTGGTGAGTTGTTCAATCCGGTTGACTGTGTGTTGTCCTGCAATCTGATAATATCTTGAAATGTTTCGATTTGCAGTACAGGAATTGTCGTTTAATCTTGTGACCTAAATGACGAAAGCCTTAGTTATATTTTGATTGCTTGCCATGATCTGATTGTGTGATGTTTAATGCTAAAGCGTTCAATTTGGTAATTTTGTGTGTATCAATGTATCTTGTATTATGGTTTTTGACTTAGGGTTTTTAGTTGCTATTAAGAAATTTGGATGTGATTTAACGTACTCAGATCATTCTTCTGATTGTGTAACTTTGTATTATGATTTCATATATATTTAAATCTTTCTGCAACTTTTGTTCTACTTTCCTTTCATATTGCAGTGGTTTCAATAGCTAAATTGAGGGATGGCAACTGAGGAACAAGGAGAAGAAAAGCAGCAAACCACAAGCACTCAAGCTGCTGCTGGTTTGGGAGGAGCCGTGGTAGAAAAGTATCGACAAATCAAAGAGCACGCAGAGACCTACCCTTATGTGTGGGGTTCCTATATTGTTGTATATGGTGGTCTTGCCCTCTGGACTGCTTACAGATGGAGAAAGCTTCGCAAGACTGAGGATCGAGTACGGGCCCTTCAGGACAGATTACGCAAGCATTATGCCGCCGAAGAGGCTTCTGCAATCCCTCCCACACCAGTTAGAAAGGTTCCAGTTCCACCACCTGCTGATAAAATCTCCAAATAGTTAGGTCATTGATCAATGCCGTTCGGCTTTCTGTTACCCTGGAAAAATGTTCTTCTGAGTTTGAACACAAGATTGCTTGAGACTTCATACTGTGGCTGAGAAATGGAGAGTCCAAATTCATTGGTAGTTTAGGGTAAAATGTTACAAATTGATACTCTAATTTAACACATTTGTGTAGAACAGGTTCTTATATGCAAATTTTGTAAGACTTCACCATCATTTTATAAATAATGATGGTGACTTTCTATTTTGCCCTAAGTCAATAGGTGGTTGTATTACTGTCAGAAAGGAATTGCGGAAAACATTGTAATGTGAGCTTTAAGGATGCAGTGAAATGGATGGTGGTTTGATTTGATGCCTAGTTATCTTACTCTACTAGAGTCTAGAATATTTGTTTAGCGAAGCTCACACTCCTTAAATTTGTTGTTCTTTCTTATTTGCACCTCATGCCTTTTGGAAAGAAAAAAGAAAGAAACTGTTTAATATGAAAAAAAGAAAAAGAAAAAGAAAAAAAGAAATAGTCCCTAAATCAAACTTTGACTATAATAAAATATTTAATATTTGAAGGCGTTTAAGAATTAAGACTACATTCATGGACAACAAAAGCAAATTCTTCCAATCATCTAAAGTAATTGGATTACAAGGGGTCTCTGGACAAATCTGAGGCTATTGATCTTCAACTGCAATATTCAACTCTGGGATTACGATGCAGCAACCTCATCAAATTGAATATCTCATAATCTCTTTCGAACAATTTAGATCTCCGCGAGCTGGTTGAATCAACCACTTTTCATGGGCTTTTATGATAAATAATGACCAGAGTGCGACCTAGAAGGGACTGATGTTGCGTGCCAACTTCAACAAGATCTCTGGAACCAGGCGTTTTCTTGGGGGTGCCATGGCATCTTTCTCAAGAGCTTCTTTATCACCAGCATGTATCACAGCAACTAGTAGGTCAAACAATTCATCTTTACCACCTCTTAGAGGATCCTGCAAAGTGCAGCTCCATATATAATTGAATTCCTGATATCCTATTTCAGATTGCTATCCAAGAGTCTAAACTATAAACTAGTGTACGTGCACCAAAATATGAGTAGTAAATTGAGTCGGAAGTTTGTAATAGTGACAATAAAAGGTTCAACTTCGAAGTATAACTTACTTGAAGAAACAAATCTGTATGAGTCTTTCCACCGTATAGTATTAACTCGGCTTGAGCGCCTGCCTTTTGAAGCGCGTCTACAAAAATTTTACTGCACATAAAGACACATTAGTTTCTGAAGATATCAAACCATAATATATTTTGATTCAAGTGGTATTCAGATGTCCGTATCAAGACAGATCGAATTGAAGGTTTCCACTAAAGGCAAAATGTTTCTTTCAAGGTCTTAATCGGTACTGTACGGATAGTAGAAAAAGGAAGAGCACAAGCCATGGATGACAGGCATTATATCTATTCTAATTTAAGAAAACATTTTTGGAATTCAATTTACAGGAGGCATAATAAGCCAAGTATTCAAATTAGACATCTACTACATATTAGTTTCTTTTATTGCTCCAGAAGAATATGAGCATAGCGTTAAATTAAGGGTACTATTCATATAACATATCCACAGGATGCATCAAATCCCATATGAATGTATTTATTATATCAGGGGCATTCTAACCTGGCATCTGATGGTATCGAATAATCTGCAGTTCCATGGAAAAGAGTAATAGGAGGCAAGAGAGAAACAGCATTCCTATTGCTTGGGTCCTTTACTTTAAGTTCAGGAGAAAATTGATGCAAGGATTCTTCCCCTTCCATAATGCTGCATGACACATCACAACAAAGCATCATGAAGTAACAAACAAGAAAGAAAACATAATATAATTGATAGTAGCGCCAGCAAAATGTCTTATGGTAAGTACCTTAAAAAAATGGAACGATATAGTCCACGATTGTCGAAATGATCAACTAAATTAATCAAATTATACCTGTGAAGAGAATTAAAAAAAAGGTTCAATGTATTGATCCATCCATAACCTTCAATGAGTAGATCCATCAACATAGTACCAAAGCAATGACTGGTCATCAGTCTCTAATACAGCTTGATGCTACAATGAGCCATGTAAGTAATGCAGCAGTGTAGTGTTTACGGTGAAGTATCTGATGGAAAGATTTCTTTCCACTATCATATACCATGCTTCAAAAAATTTATGTTTCTAGAAGTCTGATTTTGTCTTGCCCATTTTTAGACACATTTAGAACTTTTTGTGAAGCCCCAATTTTGCAAATGGTGCAACCAATTCATAAATTTTTTTCTTCAAATTCAGTAAAGTTCAGTAGATTCATGATAATGCGACAAATAAAACTTTACCCGCCAGATAAACCAAAATAAGCCTTTATCTGGGAGACGCTCCAAGAAATGCTCTCTTCTTTCTTAGATTCTTTGATTGCTTGCTCCAAAAGAGCACAGGAAGAAATATGTGCACCAGCAGATTGTCCCATTAGATAGATTCTACTCAAAAAAATCACAGAAGGATCAAAGTAAGAAAAAGAAATCAATCAGTTTCAAGATGGGGAAGGGAAGAACAAAATTGTTAGACTTTCACCTGTTAGGGTCACCTCCATAATCTGCTATATTGTTGCAGATATATGAGATACCCTCAGAAGCATCTTTCACCATATCACTGATGGTACCCTGGGGAAAATTTCTGCATGCATCATATGAGTCATATCAACATAACTTGTAGAGGACAGGACAGACTGAAAGTGAAAACTGTTCGTTTGGGTGACATACACAAAATACAAATCTTCAATGCATAGACAACAAGCATAACAAAACAAGAGGCTCTTTTTAACTTTTAGAATGGCATATACTCAAGTTTCAGGGAGCAATCCTTATATGGTTAAACTGAAAAACTGGCATAAATTAGCCATGCTTGATCAACTTTTTTGGACATGAATCAACAGAAGTGGTCTATTTTTTTGGTCGAAGAAGTGTCTATATTTTATGCCTATGCAGTTTTATCGGTATTGTTACTACAATTCTTTAACAGAATAGAACACAAACGAATAGTTTAGTGTACTAATGTATCCCTCTAATAATTGACACAACGCGAACATGGTGTCTACAAGTCAATCAGTGCCTAATATTTTCCAAATACTTCATTTAAAGCACCACAGAAAAGTTAATCTAATCGTGCATTACAACTTGTACTTCTTGAACTAAAAGCAATTACCTGTAATCAACGCATGCCACTATGATGTCTCTTTCAGCCAACTGCAGACCTAAAAGAGATCCCCACGCTTTATACCTAAATCAGTATGAAATTATAGAAACTTAAATGTCATATAACCAGAAACTTAACCTAATAACACTTCGCATAATACACCCCAAGAAAAAGAAGAAGCAGAGAATATCATCTCTAGACCGTTGTAACAATTCACGAAAGAAATTTATAAGAATTGCTGAACTAACAGCTTCCAGCTGTCTTTAAGCAATGCCCTCATCCATTTAAAATCACTCACCCAATAATCCAGGCTCCACCAGTTACAAATACCACTACTGGCTTTTTTCCATCGCTATTTGCAGGTAAATAGAGATCCAACCTGTAAATAATACAGGATAAAATTTTAAAGAAATGAATTCACAGAACTTGTCAAAATCGAAACCTTTAACAAAATTCACTGACCTATTTCTTGGTTGATCTCCATACACAATACTACGCCGGACCTGGCTTGAAAAGAAATAACACAATGCAACTGGACAAAAATGAACAATCAAGTTATGCTCCATTGAACAGCTGAAGTTACTATTCACTACAATAAAATAATAAACAAAGTAACTCTCATCACATGGCAAACAACAAAGCTGTGTTTAGGAAGTTGATTATGTCAAAGAATGTCTTAGCACAGCAGTGGGGATTCTACTGACATGTCTATACTAATTATCATAATGATGGGAATATTGAAGTGGAACATCAACACTAATTAAACTTGGAGCCTTTTCCAAAAGATGATTTAGATGGTGCACAATCCTGTCTAGATGGAACATTCTTTCTTCGATTAGCACCAACCACACAAATCATGACAGTGAAGCTAATCTTAAATGCAGATGCTTTTTTATTTTACACAAAGATAACTGCAGATTTTCTTATAATTCGATCAGCAGACATTATGATTTGATCAGTATGAACATTAAATAATATCTTCCAAGACTGGCTGAGGATTTTTAGCAAACAGCCAATTTAGCCTCAATGGTGATACCCATGAGCCTTCCGCCATTACACAGTCACAAAGTTTTTTATTTTTATTTTGATCGTATTTTGACAGTGAGTGTAGGAACAAGTTAACATAACACACACCTTGAAGAAACCCGGGCATAAGTAACATGGCGTAACATCCAAGAGCAAGTAATCTTGTCATCCACCGGTAACCTACCCTGAATGAAAATAAATGATTAGAAATAACACAAATTTTCAAAGTTGAGCAGCAAAAAAAGAATGAAGTGAAATTTCAGGTTAAATTAAAGCTTTAAGGAGTCACAGAAAAGTAATGAAGCACATTATTATATAAATACATAACCTTCAATATTATTCAATATAAAATGAATTTCCAAGACTTTCGTTTTTGTTCCACGTTTCTATTTTCTTTCTGTTTCCATCGAGTTTCTCGGCAATCAAACAGAGCTAAATACATCCAATTATCGAGCTAGGAGCTGAAGAAGAAGAAGGAGAAGAGTTACCCGAGGTATTGAAGGAGCGTGAAGCTGAGGCTAGTGATCAAGTAGGTCTCTTTGGCAGCATGGCCGATGTCGCGGCCAAAAGACTGTTGCCGAAGAGGCCGAGGCGCGGAGGCGAGCTGCGTAGAGAGCCTGCGACGCCTCTGGGGATTCGTATTGGTATTGGCAATAGGATAGCTCAAAAACCTAGAGAGTAAGGGCTTCGCGTCCATATCTTGTGCCACGTCCTCTACTGCGGAGGACGAAGCGTGTCGAAGAAGACAATCAGTTTCCGACGCCATAGCTGGGAGCTCCAATCCGAGCAATGTCTCAGAAATTTGGCAAAAGGGGTGGATCTGAGATTGGTTTTAGGCTTTTGGTAATTCGGTTGCTAAATTTTGCGTGGATTGGGTTGGGCGGTGCTTTACTATTTACCGTTAAACCGTTGATGTTTGAAGCTGAAGCTGGTGGTAGAGACTCGACCCGTTTGAAAGCTCTCAGACGCAAAAATAAATAAATAAATAAATAAATAAGAATAAATAAATAGAAATAAAAAGACGCGCTGGAAGCTGTTCTAGCATTTCCTAGAATCGTATAGAAATAAAATTATCCGATCCCCACCGTTAATGATTTCATTCCCGACAAATAAAAGGCTGGATTTATTTCTAACTTTATAATGAGAAATATATTCTTTATTTATTTGACTCAGAAGAATCTGGACATTAGATTATTTGAACTCTTGTGCATGAATTTATAGTCCAGATTCTAATAATATATAGATCTACTAAGAAAGCGTTGGACATTATTGCAAAATTGGAGATCCGATAAAAATGATTTTGATTTATGCTATTATTCACATTCCAAAAATTCATCGCGAAATCGTTAAAATGCAAATTTTTTTTTATTTTTTTCTTATAAATAAGTGCGTAATGACTTTTTTAGAATACCGATAACAATTGCCTTAATCTAAAGAATTCTTTTATATAATGCATAGACAAGTCACATGGTGAACACTTCTCAAGTATGATTAGGGCAGCATAAGAACGTTCACTCCGCAAAAAATACTGTCCAATTGCCATTTTGGAACCATGAGGAGCAAATTTGGAGAACCTGAGAATTAAAAATAGTTGGATTTGGATAAAATTTGCTTTTAAGAGAAATAATTCGTAGTAGCACTACAGATTCAACACTACCTCAGTAGGAGATATACTTTTTCATCCATCTAGCATCAAAATGACAGTTTGGTAAATTCAGTATATCTGACGTCAGTTTATCTTTAGATTATATGAATTCAAGATGATTCCCATTGACGTCCTTCCCTTCAGATCTCATCGTCTTCCTCCTCCTCTCTGAGCCTCTCTACCTTAACCACCATCTGTGGACAGCAGAAAGAGGAGTTTCCAAGAATGGGGCATAGCGGTGGATGAGGGGATGAACTGTCCTTCCAATTTTTGTCCACACACTCAGATGGTAGTCAGAAGTCACAGGGGCGTGATACATGAGCTTCAATAGCTGTAAAATGTGTTCCAAGGGGGGAATGTAACTCATTAGACTCTGCTATAGGGTTCAGATATTGGAAATAAATAAATACATAAAAATCAGTGAATATAGTTCTCGACTCTACTATCAAGTGTAGCAACAAGAGCATGAACCAAAATTGAACAAAGTACTTATCAACTGGGGCTACAGTTTGCAGAAAACGGTATTCAATCTCTAATCTAGTCAATAAGACAAACCATTTCTAACTAGTGGTATTGACTCAATGCATGTCTAACATGCACGCCTGTATGCATTTGTGCATGAGTGGTGTGTATGGGTGGGTGGGTGGTATTCAACATAATTGAAACAATTACGCTTCAGGAACAAAGAGAAAGGAACTGCACCTGCCAGTACATGAATGCCTGTATAATGTTGCGCTGCCACCTACAAATATACATTCAGAAATTAAGAAATGTTATAAATGAAAAGAATAGAATGTATCTGTGACTAAAAAAGCAGCACACAAAATGGTTCCAATCAACTCACGAGAACAATGATATAATCAGAAGGAAGCCAAGTCCAATCTCAGCATGTGAAGATAGTATGTTGAGGGTAGTTGTATTTGACTCCACCCAAACACAAAGCTCTTCCAAGTACTTCCTGTTCACCATGACAAAATAAAATATTGCTCAGTAAAGAATACAAGTAGAAAAGCACAACAAGAAACAATCCTCATGCCCAGCACTCAGAATTACCAATTCACAACATCATAAAATTGAATTCAAATAACAGAGGATGATAATGAAATATCACTATTTCTGTGGGAGGGGGTATCTAACATATGCAAAATATCACGCAACGTTGTTAAGAATTAACTCTTCTACCTGTACAATGAGGATTGACTAAAATTGCGCCTAAGGAACTTGGCAACATGTTCAAGAGCCCGACAGAGAATGGGAATCAGCGCAACTGCAATGGAGATCACATCATTATACCAGTAATAACAACAAAATGAGCCTATAGAAAAATGACAAGAGAACTTGAGGATTAAGGAATGCTCACATTTGAGGCAAAGATGTGATGTCACAAAGGTAAGGCAGTAAATCAAGTAGATAAAATCCTTAGTTGTGATTATTGACTGAAAGTAAACTTGCAAAGCCTGCAAGTTCCAAGCCCTCGGTTTCTGAAATAGTAAGGGTGTGTTAATGAAATAGGAACATGGGCAGCGTATACAAGTTAATGGAATAAGATCACAAAGTGAGTGAGTGAATCTCAAAAAGTAGATTTACCCCATGTTGCGAGTACAAGGAATACAGAGAGGAACAAGCCGTGCCCATAAAGGAAAGCCGATATGCCCTATTTGAAAGGTTTTTAGGCACCAATGGAAAAATTGCAAGCACAGCCACTAGAAACACCTACAGGGAAGAAAGAGGTAGACATTGGACAAATAACAACAGAAAAATCTTAAATGTAAGTAGAACATAGCAAGAGTGGTTAAGAGTTATGTATGATACACTAACTTTAAGCACAAAAAAATGATGATTTATCAAGCCCACTAACACAGAATCAAGTGCCTAAAGTATACGTGACTGAAAATTTTTTTCTGAATCAGAGAAAACTTTGAATTCAAAAGAAGCAGACATAGTTTTCATACTTTGATCTCAAGAATTATCATTTACTTTTGTTGTTGTTTGAGTGCATAAATGTATTCTAGTGGACCATGCATATCAGATTTGCAAAGAAAGAACCTTGACCATGCAGATATTCTTGTTTGAAATTACAGCAGTTCAGATTTGAAAAAAGTTTCAGGACATCTTGGGAAGGGGATACTGTTGCATTCCCCACCCTCTCTGACTCCAGCAGTTAATAAAAACTCTAACCTACAGAAAACTGTTTGTTGATGTATATGACTGTCAACACAGTGCCTGGTTTCGAGGGAACAAGATTAAAGGAGAAAGCCAATAACATAGAAAAACTATACGAAGTAATACAGCATTTCATGAAAATCAGGCTGATTTATAAACATTATACACCCTAGCAAGGGAAAAGTTCAACAAGAAGTAAAGAAAATAAAAACAAAGTTGATTCTATGTACGTATATGTGGATATCAAAGCATGAGTAGATTTGACCATACCCAAGCGTTTACAGAAAACTGAACGGTTTGTCGATCCCAACGCAGAGAAGTTGGAGGACTTGTTGCTGATGTACCTGAAGTTCTGGCAGTTGATCCTACAAGCACCAATTCAAGTTCAATTCACTTTAATCAGCAAATTTCAGGCTACTGAAAGCAATTAAAACGTTTTTTTGTAAATAAATAAACAGATAAACTTGATTTCTCTTAAGGGAAAATGCCAATTTAGGCCAATTTGCTTCTGTTTTGAATTTTTTGTACAGAAAATGAAAGTATTCCAACCAGCACTCCGTGACTGAGGTTGGTCATTTGTGGGTCGGGATGATGCAGATGGTCTCTTTGGCTGAGAAGAACTGCTAGTTGACATTGAGTCTACCATAAGATCAGGATCCTATTCAAGAAATCAAGATGCAAAGAATTAGGAAAACGCTATACTTAGTGTGTAGATAAATCAAAATATGATATTTTGTATTTTCATCTACTTCCAAAAGCCATGCAACGCCTACCAATTACAATCCCAAAGACATCAACCAACAAAGCCATTCTCATATCGCAATCCCAATAGCATAACTCTTCAACCAAATGACTTTATAGGTGCACTCATGTGGTAAAAATTCTTTTTTGAAAAGTTGTGAGAAAATTTAACAAGCAAACATTGAATGAAATATCTATCTCCCGGTAAAATGATCAAATTATGTTGCCGGGATATCAATGGAATTAATCATACAGAAAATGTCCTTAAACAATTAACATAAAATTGGGAAAAGAGACAACTTATGGAAACCAAAACCAGGTCAGCCTAAGATGAAATTATTGTTTTAACCATTACATGTGAACTCAATTGCTCAATTAACTGAGCTGAATGAACAACTAAAAAATAGGTGTGCTCCCAAGTAGGCTCTCCAAAATCAAAGCCCGAATGACAAAATCAATTGAATCTAAATGAAATTTCTATTCGTCTGAGGTGCATCTAGTCAAGTGACAGTGAGCGAGATGCAAAAGACATAATAGGCAAGCGAAACCAGAAACTGTTCCTTTCAAATTCCCATAAAGGAAAATGAAGCAATTCACAGAAGATCGCAGTAGCAAAGAAAGTAAAATTCATACCCAAAATTATCAACAAACAAAGAAACCCAGAACAAAACCCAAAATACCCAATTGGAAAAGTGACCCCAAATACACAAAACAGAAAAACCCATTTCAGATTCAAGTGTCCATAGTCCAAATTCCCAAGAAACAAATGCTAATTAGCAATCAATTAGTACTGGGTGCAGAAATTGTGAAGAAAACAAGAAGAAAGAGTTGGTATGAGAGTACGGACGATGAAGCGCTGGTAGAACTTGCGCTTGAAATGGTCGACGACATCGCTGCGAGAGGCCATGTGAGGAGGGATGAGGATGTTGGACCAGTAGTCGGGCCATCTTGAGTCGTTCTCGTAGTCGTAGGCAGCCGCTGCAATTCTCTTCAGCTTCTGTGGGTCCTCTCTCTCTTCCCCCATTTCTTGATGGCTTGATTGACTGATTGCTTCCTTTCTTTCACACACACAGTCGGTCGTTCTACTTTCTTGCTGCTACTGCACAACAGAAAAACCCAAAGTCTCTCTCTCTCCACACTCTCCAATACCTTTGGTCGTTTTCTATGGGTTGCTCTGTTTTCGCCTTTGGGTGACCCGAGAGAAACGACGTTCTGGAGACATTTTTTAATGTTATTAGGTGCATTGGGCTTGGACTGAGGTAAGGGTACAATGTAGTTTTATTAGGTCCAATAACGTTTAGAACCCACTGAAAACAGAAGTGAAACAGCTCTCTGCATATTTGCTTTCCACACCCAGCACCCAATTTTTTCCTTCTAAATTTCCCTGTTTCTGTTTTAAGAACAGTTGTTTT